GGGAAAAATGAAGACGTAATGCCGGGGGCTTAAGTGGAGAGGAAATGTTTTGAGAATGATGAGGGCAATGAATGTACAAATGCACTTTACACAATTGATGTATGTATGGATTGTGATAAGAGTTGTATGAACCCCTAATAAAATGATTTTTAGAAAAGAGAGACCTATATTTATACCCATGCCAAAGTAAGGGTATATCATTTCTGCACAGAATGCAGAAATTACCCAACACTATCATTAGTATCACATGCAAGTAACAGGTTTCTGGAGATCACCGGGCAGCAGTTGCAGCAGTGCACTGACAGGGAGCCACCAGAGGTTCTGCGGGATCCAGAAGAGGACGTGCAACAAGGGGCATCATTGCTGATGTCGAGTCAGTCTTGACTGAAAGCAGAGAATATCAGAAAGATGTTTACTTGCATTTTATTTTTGTTAAGACCTGTTTGAAAAGAACTTGTCAGTCTGTGTTTTATTGACATGCAAAGGCATTCAATTGTGTGGATCATAGTCAACCATGAATAAGAACGGGTATTCCAGAACATTTCCTGGTGCTGTACATGGATCAAGATGGTTTAAAACCAGCAAAGGTGTGCGTCCGGGTTGTGTCCTCTCACCACACTATTCACTCTGTGTGCCGAGCAGGTCCTTGGCGAATCTGGGCCATGTGAAGAAGGACGTGGCATCAGGGATGGAGGAAGGTTTGTCAACAACATGCAGGTGATGCAGCCCTGGTGCTGGACGCGAGGACAACCTGAAGCACTTGCTGACAAAGATCAAGGATGGCAGCCTTCAGGATGGATTCCAACTCAATGTCAAGAAGACAAATGTTCACATCTGGACCAACGGGTGACCTTATGATAAATGGAGACGCAGTTGAGGTTGTCAGGAATGTTATGTTGCTTGGATCCAGAATAGATGCTCATGGACGCCGCAGCCTGGAGCTCAACTGATGCATTGCACTGGGCACTTCTGCGCAGACCTCTTTAAAGTGCTGAAGAGCAGGGTGTTGCATCCTGCCCCCAAGGGCAGGCCCAGTGCTCTGTTCCCAGCTGCCTCCCGCCCGTCCACCTGTCAGCCAGACCGAGGCTTCCACAGCAGTGCTCCAACCTTGACCCTGTCACAGGCAAGCCACAGGCAGCTGGCCACTCAGTCTCCTCACACAAGCTGCGCAGCAAAGGTTCTCCAAGGTCTCAGCTCCAGTGTCCAAGTGCATCCATGTTGTCATCTCAGGAGCCTGCTGGGTACGTCCCCCAGACCCCCACAGGGTGGCCATGTCCTCCTATGCCCCCCACCCAGGTGGCTTTCACAGCTGTCCCTCGGTGCCCAGGAAGACTCTTCACATAGTCATTGGCCACTCAGATTTCTACCAGGTGAAAGCCAAAATCACCCCACTTCCAAGGAGACCCAGGGTCAGTGAGCGGGGACCGCTGCCAGTCACCACAGCAGGCACATTCAGACGCTGAGACGCTCTGTTAGAACATGCGGCCCAGATCCTCCACTCAAGTACACCCTCAGTGCAAGAACACTTTGTTCTATTAAACTGGCGTTCTATGATGCTCACCTTCCCAACACAATTGCTGAAGACAAAGC